TGAGAGGTGAATGAGAAAATGTATACAGAAATCCCAGTCTGGTGCCTGGCACTTCAAACACACGAAATACCAGCAGGGGAGGTCAGGGGAGGCCTCAGTGTTCTCTGCAGAAAGGGGATGCCACCCGTGCCAAGAGCTGTTTAAGGCAGAGGAAATTGGGTCACTGGCTCAGAAAGAGATTGAGTTCTACTTTGCATCTGAGGCCAGCAGTGCAAGGTTCCATCGTGTCTACTTATGACCCATGTCCTTCTATAGCCCTGGCCACTGAGAAGTGGCTAGCCTGTGACAGATTTTTGCACCTGTATCTGCTTCCTCATTCCGGCAGCCTAAATTCAATGATCAATCATTATCATCACCTCCTGGAAGAGATCCTACTCATGAATAGCCCATCTCAGTGGTACTTTTTACCCACTTAGGTGAAGCCTCCAAACCCTGCCTCCCTGCAGCCTTCCACCCTCCTCCACACCTGCATCTATGGAGTATTGTGCAGAATGACTGACAACCTCCTAGACCAGTAATGTGAGGGTCCGAATGTTGGTTCCTCTCTCCATTCACTGAATTTGAATCTTTCCTCATGTGAGGGTCTGAATGTTAGTTCCTCTCTCCACTCACTGAATCTGAGTCTTTCCTACCCAGGCACTGGTGGCTCATGCCTGGAATCCTAGCTGCTCAGGAGGCTGAAATCTGAGGATCGTGGTTCAAAGCCAGCCCAGATAGGAAAGTCAGTGAGACTCTTAATTACACACACACACACACACACACACACACACACACACACACACACACACACACACGCCAGAAGTGGAACTGGGTCTTAAATATAGTGGAACACTAGCTTTGAGCCAAAAAGCTCAGCGACAGCACCCAAACAGTGCTCCAGGACTGACACAGAAAAATAAAAAGAAAGCATAAAAAAGAAAAAGATGCCATGTATGAGGATACCAAGCGTGCTGGTGCCCTGATCTGAGATTCTAACCTCCAAGACTATGAGACATAAAGCTGTAATTATTTATAAAGCACCCAACCTAAGGTATTTTTATTATAATAGCCTGAATGCACTAAAGGTGCTGGTTTCATTCACTGCAAAGGCAGGGAAGTCCTCATGCTGCTCAGCCGCTTTTGAAGTCTCTAGGTCTATCTCTTCCTCACTCTCCCAGATCCAGGGTGACAGAGAGGGGACAGTGACCTCAGCTTCCCTGGGCTTCCCTGTGCCCTTCTATCACACTCCATGCTTCAAAGCTCTGGAAAAGTTCCCTTAGTCCAACTCCCAAAGCCTACTTGAAAAGTAAAGGGCACAAATGAGACTGGGTGGCTTCAAGAGCTTACCACAAAGGAGTGAAGGTACTTAAGACATGACCGTTGTTTTTTGTTTGTTTGTTTTTGTTGGTCGTGGAGGCTGAACTCTGGGCCTGGGCGCTATCCCTCAGCTCTTCAGCTCAAGGCAAGCGCTCTACCACTGAGCCACCTTCCCAACCTAGACATGACCAGTTTTTATTGGTGGATGGGCAAACCATTAATTTCCGTGTCTGACATTTGCTCTGATGAAGATGTGTGTGAGGACCTTTTGAAGCAGTAGAGCAGAAGATACATCTAGGACCTGTGATCCAACAGATTTAATTCAGGAAAATTTTATTAGTGTCACAATGATTAAATGACCCACAGAATTTAAGTACTCCCAAGTATCTGATTATTAATAAGTCACAGTTATCTGGTGACATTAATGGACATTCTCTCCGCTCCCCCCCCCCCCCATTAAGGCTGGTGCTCTACTGCTTGAGACACACTTTCAGTTCTGGTTCCCCTCCCCACCCCAGGTTAATTAGAGATTAGGATTTCTCTGTTCTCACCGACCTCAAACAGCAATCCTCAGATCTCTGCCTCCTGAGTAGCTAGGATTATAGTTGTGAGCCACTGGCAATCAGTATTCTTTTAAACATTTTTTTTCTCTCCTTCAAATATCTGCCATAAAATCACACATCCTTACAACTTCAGTTATTAGTCTTTTATTTCTAATCCAGAGAGTATCACAAATCCATCTTCAACCCATGTTCCTTTCTTCCTTTCTTTTTGTTTTTCTTTGGTGGTAGTTGGGCTGGAACTCATGATCTTAAACTTGCGAGGCAAGTGGTCTGTTACTTGAGCCATCTCCCCAAACCCTATTTATCTTTCATTCTTTTTTTTTTTCCTTCAGGTAGGTCTTGTCCCTGGGTAGGGCCTTAGACCACAATCCTCCTATTTATGGCCTCTTGAAAAGCTAGGATTACCAGTGTCCATCCTCTGATTTATTTTCTAAGGTTCAAAGTTTTATACATCAGCAAAAACAAATCCTTTGACTTCAGATTAAGATCCAGTTTTGTGTTCTTTCGGTTGTACATTGCGTCACCCTGTTGTTTGCTTTATTAGTTCATTTCAGGCTGATTCTCCTCCCCTTATTTGAATCAGCTGGGAAGGTCTCTGGCAGGCTGCTTACCGGACTCTCAGGATTTAGAATCCATCCTGTATAGCATTCATTCCTAGTTGTGTAAATTTGCCATCGTCCAGTGACAATTTTTCTCTCTACTTTGGCTCCATCTAGTGGACCACACTAGCCAGTGCCACCTCAATTTCATGGTTTACTAATTTCCAATAAGGTAGCAGTCTAATACGTTTTTCCTTAAAATTATTGTCTCTATCTGTTCAGGCTGCTATTACAGAATACCATGAGCTAGTTGGCTTATAAGCAATAGAGTTTTTTTTTTGTTGTTGTTGTTGGTCGTGGGGCCTGAACTCTGGGCCTGGGCGCTGTCCCTCAGATCTTCAGCTCAAGGCGAGCACTCTACCACTTGAGCTACAGCGCCACTTCCGGTTTTCTGGTGGTTTATTGGAGATAGGAGTCTCATGGTCTCTCCTGCCCGGGCTGGCTTTGAACCGCGATCCTCAGATCTGAGCCTCCTGAGTAGCTAGGATTACAGGCGTGAGCCACCAGCGCCCGGCTCTAAGCAATAGAGTTTTATTTCTTTCCCACAACTATAGGGGCTGACATGTCCAAGATCAAGATATAAACAAATTTGGTATTTGGTAAAGGTCACTTTTTTTTTTTTTTGATAGATGACTTCTTGTTCTGTACTCACATGGTGGGATAGGCAACTGAGGTACTTTGGATCTTTCTTCTTTCTCCCTCCCTCTTCCTCTCTCTCTTTCTCTCTTTCTTTGGGGGGGTTGTATGAGGGGAGGTTCAAACTCAGAGCAATTACACTTGCTGATCAAGTGCTCTATCACTCCAGTCCCACTTTTACATGGGTTAGTCATGTGTCACTATGTGCCCTGGGCCAGCATGGGCTGCAGTCTTCCCCCTGGTATATCTTTGCATTACTGTGCACCTAGCCTTGGGGCAGGGGTGGGAGGGAGGGGGAGAGGGGACAGAGATATGCACTCTTCAGCTCAAGGCGAGCACTCTACTGCTTGAGCCATAGCACACTTCCAGTTTTCTAGTGGTTTATTGGAGATAAGAATCTCACAGAGTTTCTTGCGTGGGCTAGCTTTGAACTGTGATCCTCAGATCTCAGGCTCCTGAGTAGCTAGGATGACAGGCATGAGCCACCGGCATCCAGCCACATTTTCTTTCTTGAAGAACAATTCTAGAGTTCCTTAACAGTATTTACTTCTGCTAGTAGGGGCTTTCAGAAGCTGTGCCCTTCCGTTCATGCCACTGATCCTTAATGGCTGTTTTCAATGTGCAAAGACAAAAGAAAATGCTTCCCCATGGGGTAATTGTTACCTTTCATAGGAAAACCTGGACTGACCTGGCACTTGGGTATTACACAGCTTCCCAAATCCTGTTCCATGCTCAGAGAAATGTGGTCCACAAGGGAATGTACAAATCCCAAATACTTGGAATGAATTCTATTTCTAATGGTTTCCCTTTGCTTTGACTCTCAAGTCCAGGGATGATTTTCCTCAATTCATTCATTATTCATAGCAAACTGGTATTTGCTGAGCATCTACCTCCTATGGGCTAATTTAGGAATTGTGAGTTTATTAACGCTGCTACTCTCCTGGAGCAAATATCTGGGGGCGGGTGGGGGGGAGGGGAGGAAGGGCAAGGTTGCTATGAGAACATAAAACAGATAAGTAAAGCCTCAGTATGTGAGAAGGCTGGTTAGGTGTTATGAGAACAAGAAAGCAGGGAGGGGTCATTAGTTGCTTTTTTATGCTTTGCAAGCAATTCATGAATGATGTGACATTTGAAAAGGTACCCAAAGAAAGAGGGGGAGTGAGGCCTGTCTGAGTATCAGGTGGAGCTATCCCCAAAATAAAACTGACAGGGCTTGCTGAGGGGTTCATTAGATGGGAGACCATAGGAAAAGAGTTCTCAAGCATGACTGCTAGATTTTTTTTGTGGGGGGAGGGGAAGCTTAGAAGGGGAATGGATGTGTGAGGCCTTGGGTTCAATATCTGACACCAAGACAACAACAACAACAATAACAATACCATCAAAGAAACAAAGTAAGACCCAGAAGATAGAGCTATTAATTGATGTAGAAACAACTATGGTAAAAGGTAATGAAGAAATGAGTCCTTCTGTTCATTTGCATATGTTAATTTGAAGTGCCTGGCTAGGTATCCAGGTGTAGGTGTTGAATGGGTAGTGGGAAAATCAGATGCGGTAGACAGAGCCTGAGCTAGCGATACAAATTTATGCTTTCCCAACATGCAAATCCTTAGGTGTGTTTTATAGCCAGAAACCAGTCTGAGATTCCTCAATAGGACTAAGGAATAAATAGAAAGTTAGGATGGGTCTCCCGGGACATTCCAGTGGTCAGAGCTGGGGATGGGAAGACGGGCCAATGAAAGGAGCAGAAGAACCGGAAGTGCAGTCTGTGAACACAAGGTAAGGAGTGTGATGTTTGTACGTGACATGACCAATGCTCTGCTGATGTGAGACAAAGATGGGAAACTGACCGTGACATTTAGCTGCGGGGGAGTCATCACTGACCTTAACTGGCTGATTTCAGTGAAGAATGACGTGTAAGTCTCAAAGGGATGGCTTAAAGGTGTAATGGGAGGAGAGAAAGGGAAGACAGAGTTAATATACCCCTTGACTTTTTCCATAAAGAAGGACAGAAAATGGAACAATAGTTGGAGGGCTTTGTAATATCAAGAAAGTGTGTGTGTGTGTGTGTGTGTGTGTTTAAAGCCAACTTTACCAGGTATTGGTAGCTGATGACTGCAATCCTAATCACTTAGGAGGCTGAGATCTGAGTTTCCTGGTTCAAAGCCAGCCTGGGCAGAAAAGACCATGAGATCCTTATCTCCAATTAACTACCAAAAATGCCAGAAGTGGAGCTGTGGCTCAAATAGTTGAGCGCCAGCTATAAGCAAAAAAAGCCAAGTGGGAATGTGAGGTACTGAGTTCAAGCCCTACAACCCACACAAAATGAATAAGCAAATGCCAAGTTCATTGATGTTTAATTCACATAGAATAAACGCTCACAGTTTAAGTGTACTCATACAAGTTTTTTGGTTTTTTTTTTTTCTGTCAATTGTGGGGCTGGAACTTACAGCCTATGCACTATCCCTAAGCTTTTTTGCTCAAGGCTAGCACTCTATCACTTTGAGCTATAGTGCCACTTCCAGTTGCCTGGGGTTAATTGGAGATAAGAGTCTCAGGAACTTTCCTGCTTGCGCTGGCTTTGAACCATGATCCTCAGATCTCAGCCTCTGGAGTAGCTAGGATTACAGGTATGAGCCACCGGTGCCTGGCCTCATATATAAGTTTTAACAAATGTATACTCTAGTAACCACCACTCTAGTCTCTACACAGAACATTTCCTTTTCTAGAGTATTCTCTTACTACTTTTCTGTCATTATTTCATCACTCATAATTCCAGATAACCACAAGTTAGATTTTGCTTCTTTTAGCTCTAGACTTAGCATATTGGAATTGTGCAGCATGCATTTTTTTCTACTCTCTAGCTTCTTTTGCTTGGCATAATGGTTTTCATATTCATTCTGGCCATATTTGTTAGTCTTTCATTCCTTTTTTTATTGCTGACTTGTATTCTATAGTTTGGACAAAGTTATTCCTGTATGGACATTAAGAACCATGTACAAAACTGTGAGGATTGCATTTCATTTCCATTGGGTATATAAATGTGTACATTAAGAATATATTCAAATTGATACTATTTATCTTTAAAGTAAGTGTTTTAAGAGAAATGGAATATTGCCTTATCAGTCTTTAATTTTAGCCAGTGTTGTGTAGTATATCATTGTAGTTTTGAATTCCCTGATGAATACTACTATTGATCATCTTTTCAAGTACTCAGTTTTGTGTGTGTGGTGGGGAGGGGTACTGGGCTGTTACTCAGGACCTTGAACTCTTCTTTACCTTTTCTATTCCAGGTTTGTGCTACCACTTGAGCTCTATCTCCACATCCAGCATGTTGCTGGTTGATTGGAGATAAGAGTCACCGAGTTTCCTACCTTGTCTGGCTTTGAATCAGAATTCTCATATCTCAGCCTCCTCAGAAGCTAGGAGTATAGGCATGAGCCACCAGCACCTAGCCCAGAGTTTCTTTGTTGTTTGATGAACTTGACAGCTTTAAGGAGTACTAACCTACAGAAGGTTTCTCAACCGAGGTTCCACTGTGGTGATTCTCATGATTAGTGCTGTACTTGGGGGTGTGTTTTGAGTATGCGCCCTAAAGATTTGTGCATTGGCCACCTGATCTCAGCATGGTGGTGAAGTGAGACAGAGGAATCTCTAAGAGTGGGGACCAAATGGGAGGTTATGAGGTTATTGGGAATGCAATGGAAGGAAAGGGTCAAGGCTGGACTCTCACAGTGAGTTAGCTCCTGAATCAGCCATTGAGGAAGGGTAAGTCTGGGCCCGGAGGCCCTCTGACTTCCTGTCTGACTGGGATCTCTTCCACTACCTGCCTCTGGTATTGTTATATCATCCACCATGAAACCCTCATTAGAGGCCAGGTAGATACCATTACCTGACCTTCAGCTCCCAGCCACCCAAAGTATCCGCTAAATAAACACTTCCTTGTAAGAACCCAGCTTCAGGTACGTTGTTACAGCAATAGAAAGGGAGCTAATGTAGTCAGTCTGGGGTTAGGAGACTTAGAGGAAGATTACAGAGTTGATGTGTCATTCCTCTCACATCATATTCATGGTATACATATCAACAGGATCTCACTATTGGTGCTGGAGTAGGTCCCTTGACTGAGGTAGTATTTCTCAGGACTCTCCTGTAAAGCTATGTCTTTTGTGTCCCCTTCTCACCTGTACTCCTGGGAACAAACCCGTTATGTACAGATGTCCCTGAGAGGTGAGAATTGAGCCTCTTCTCTTGAGGGCAAAGTATCTTTATAAAATGACTTGGAATTCTCCACAGGAGAGATTTGTCTAGTTTCTACTCTATGTTTAATTACTGATTTTGACCAGTATGGATATCTATTTTATGCTTTAGGTTAAAATCCATGGTTTATTTTACTGTTGAAATTGTTCTATTGAAGAGAAAAGAGGAGAGGAGAAAAGGAGAAAAAAAGGAGATGTGAAGAAGAACAAGAGGAGGAGGAGAGGAGAGGAGTGAGGAGAATAGAGGAAAGGGGAGGAGAGGACAGGAAATTGTTGATTTCCCCATTGGTAACTTTCTTGGTTGGCTCCTGTGACACATTTACATCATTGTGTGTGTGTGTGTGTGTGTGTGTGTGTTAGAACTTGCTCAATTTCAGGTACTACAAGTTATTTATCTTTTTGTATTCCCTCCCTACTCCTCAGGGCAGGCATTTCTTCAAGGATCCCTGGTTCTTTTTAAATTAGAGAACGATACTGGAGATCATGTAGGTATTTTACTTATTTTATGATGGACTCTCATTACCGGTGTCAGGAATAAGAAAATATTGCTATAGTTTCTGCAAACAAAGGATAATGGAATATTATAGGCAGGTGTGAACCAGTTACCTTTAATAACATGGATACAAACATACAAGTCCCCAAACATACAAGTTTCAATTGAAGAAGCAATTGAAAGTATGAATACATATATATTGATGTATATAAATTGTTATAAAAAAACCCTTTCCACAAAGAAAACTCCAGGCCCATATGATTTCATTGGTTAATTAAACATTAAAGAAGAAATAACATGAATATGACACCAGCCTGTTCAAGAAACGGAGGAGTGAACACTGCGTAAGGCAGTTTATGATGTCATAAGTCTAACATCATACCTGACAAAAATGTAAAATATCTTTTCTCTCTATAAATACATACATATAAAATATAAATATGTAACTAGAACATGTAATGTATACATTATATAAATATATTTGAGAAATTCTTTTTCAAATATTGGCAAGTAAAATCCAGGAATAGAAAAAGAGGATAGTATATCATGATCAAATGGATATTATTACAAGGATGTGAGGTTCACCCACATCCAAAGACATACATCAATATATCAATGCATCTTTTCTCTGGAGCCACAATTTCATCTGTGGTTGCTCAATGCCTGGAAAGAATTACTTTTCTTTGGGTCCAGATGTGTAGTGATGGCAAAGGGGCAAACTAGGCCAACGCCCTTTTCTCTATAACTGCCCGAAATGAAAACTCTGGTATTGGCTCCTTGAAAATGGACCATTTTACATGTTTGTACATTGATGGAAATGACTCAGTAGACAGTGAAAGATGGAAGGGGATTGAAATGTTGATTTTGTGAACAACCTAGACTTCCCCATCTCCTCCACACCCCCCCCCCCCCCGCTTTTCATACCTTGTTTGGGCAATTGGCCATTTGTAACTTTAGGCTCTTGGGAAATAGAGGTTTTTCCTGTTCACGCTCCAGCTACTGCCCTCTACCTTCTGGGACTTGGTTTCTTGTTCCAGATTATGGAATGCTTGTGAGAGTCAGCCTCCTTTGGCTATAAGGGCACACCTTGGCCATCTCACCAAACCACATGAAAGGAAGAAAATCTTTAGAGCTGACAGCAATGATCTTCTGATTTAAGATCAGTGACCATAGATAGCCTAAGCCGTAAGCTCATCACTCCTTTCCTTTTCTGATTTACTTTCTGAACTTTGAACCTGGTAGGGCCATAGCACCATCTAGGTATGATCTATCATTTTTTTTCTCAGATGTTTTCCACATCTGGAACTTCCTCCTTTTATCTTCATGCGACACTGAGATTGAGGACCTTACTCTTTGACTTCTTAGGCAATATAATCTGGCTCTTTGCCAACCACAATCTTCTTGGAGCTGGAGAATTTTGCTAGTACTGATTGCTTAGATATCTACTTAGTTCCTTTCCTAGCTCACTTCATAGTTACAGGCAGGGTAATAGATCATACCCCCCAGGCTATTGCTGGTCATTATATCCTGAAATCAAAATGATTCTGGATATCACAGTTCCAGATTATGCTTTCATGGTACACATTTTTTATGTTAAGGCTAAGCTGTATTTGATATTGCATCTTGAAGTGTCATCAATTCCAAAGCAACTGTCTTTGCATTCCAACTAGGGGACGGAAAGCACAGCATTTGCCAAGTGATTCCCTCTTACCTCATCTCATCTGTACCAGAGCGGCTTGCTGCCTCTATTGTAGAACACATGGAAATCTGGCATGATTTTCTTTTAAAATGTTGTGCCTCATCAACCAACCAAGTGTTACATTGGAATATGAATCATGGCAATGATTCTTCAATGTTGCATAAAGAAGAATTTATAAATAATGTGATACACATTTATCATCGATATAGGAACAAGAGCAAAGCTTTCAGAGCAGAGAAATGGCATTGCTCTTTCTTAATAGCCAGTTGAGAAGCAGCAAAAGGGGTAGAAATAGAATTGGCAAAACGAAGGCATTAAAAACATAAGATTAGGGGCTGGGAGTTTAGCCCAGTGGAAGGGTGCTCACCCGGCATGTGCAAGGCCCTGGGTTCGGTCCTCAGCCCTGGAAAAAAAATAAAAACAAAATAAAAACAAAAAATAAAAACACAAGATTAGTGCTAGAGGCTC